TTTCATTTTAAGTTTGACTTTCTTTAATTTTTAGGAGAAAGAAATATTTTGATATAAAATAGATGAGACTGAATCAAGGATATAATTACTAAGACGAACATCTTAGTTTTCATTTTATGACAAGCAATATTTTGTAAATATTCTGTTATTTTTATCTCGTTACTTTTGCTTATATCCTATAATGAAAATAGGTTTTCAGCAAGTAGATTAACTTCGTATTTCACGTCGAAATTATTGTAATAAAATTTGTTAGTCTCTGTTTCGTTAGTCTCAACTGGAAGTTAATTTTTATATATTTTTCAATGTAGCTAAATCTCTGCGTATTGATGGTAATCTAATAATTGCCTTAATTGAATATTAGTATCGTAATTAACTGAACTCCATCGATCTTGTAATAGAATTCTGAGTCTGAGATCAAAAATATCAGAATAGAGAATCAGGCGTGTATATAATAACCAACTTCGAGTTATAAATGAAACCAGCAATTGCATTAAATTCACGAAACGCTTCTTCTTTATTGATGCATTTATTTAAGCAGCTAACTTCGAATAGGATGGCGAAGATTATCGACAGATTTTTAACGTGACTCGAATGAGACAACCATAAGTATCGAAATAATAATACAGGATATATGGCTGCTGATTTTGCCGATGAGGAGTTTGTTAAAGAGGACGAGAACGATTATGATATTATAATTATAGGAGCAGGTTTATCTGGCCTTACATGCGCGTATCATATTCTGAGAAAGCAAACTGGGTTAGATGTATTAGTCATCGAGGCAAATAGTAAATAATTTTCTCAATCAACAAATATGTAAAGCAATACTTGAAATATTAAAAATTACATGCTATATTCAAATAATCGATACTATTTCAATTCTAAACTAACTCGATTTTGTATTTGAAATGTGAAATTTTTATCAAGCTGTTTCATCATTAACTCTTAAAGAAACGACTGAATGTGTCCATAATAATATTTTCCAAATTTAAAAAATTAATAAAGTTAGTAAAGTTAGAGACTAGAAACGCTATTATTATTTACAATGGCTACAACTACTGAAATTTCGATAATAACATCATAATAAAACAAAATTCAGTGGTGAATTTTTATCTCACCTTCGAGAGTTCAAATATGCAAATTATTCTTTCTAGAAAAGCTTTTATTTTAAAGCCATATCTTTTTATAGCAATATTATAAATATAATCATTATTATAAATATACTTATGATGCGTATTTAAAATCAGGTGAAGTAGGAGGTCGTATATTACAGAAAAGCTTTAACAATACCTATCACGCTAATTCTTTGCAAAAGCATGTAACTGATCTAGTGACAAAGTTAAATATAAAAATTGATCAAATATCTAATGCCGAGACGAGACAAAGAATATTGTACACGAATAATGCAGCTTTACAAATCTTGCCTAAATTCTATGGAGCTGAAGTTTACGACTTTCTTCAGACGGTAATATATGTTGTTATATTCATTACTTAAATGAATACATATCATGCTTAAAATTCAAAAATATTAGGCAATTAAATTATTTGTTGTTATTATTAAAAATATGGCATTATAATATAAAATATCTATTATTAGAAATAAGCAATTTATAAATATTTAAAATATTGAACGATTTAAATATTCAGTATTCAGTATCGTGTATTCTATCTCCTGACAAAAATAAGTATTTTATCCTATGGTTTTGGTAACGTGAAAATTTACTGCTATGTATTTTATCACATAGATGGAAGAGAATGCATTAAACCTTAAATTCTGTAATTATGCGGGGCATGAAGAAGCGAAGTATCTTGCTGAAACAAGCGTTGAACAATTACTACGTAAAATCGTTTATTTCTCGTATGCACGGTCACTATGTCGAGCATATATTTGCAGTACATGCGGTAAATTTATTTAAAACTCTTCACAAGAATTATTAAACATTTTTATTTTTTTATTTTATAGACACATATATATGTACATATTTTTTATATTAAAAAAAGATTTATTTATATCAAAATATTGATTTTATAGATGTACATCAGAAATATCTTTTATGTCAAATATTTTAAGAAGTATTCTTGCAGTCTTTAAATAATTTTTATATTTTTCGAAATAGTAAAACAAATAAGAGGAGGACAAAATTAATATTAGTGAAATGTGTATAGTATTAAATAATGATAAAACAAGTAATAGTTTTAAAAGAAAAATTAATAAAAACAATTCAACGAGGGTAAATTGATAAATCCTTGAAATTTTTCATAGCTATGCGAAACCTCAACGATATTTCAGCACTTTGGTTTCTTGTCATGTTGAATGGAGCATCGGGTCTTGTAAATCGATTAAAAATCATGATTGGTGACAGTAATCGCTATTTCGTACAAGTATACATGATAACCATAATTTCATAATTTCGTGAATATGAAATATTATACATATCTACTACATTTTAATAAAATTAAAATCTTGTCTCAGTTAATTGCATTTAATATCATATTATGTTTTTGTAGGACGGTATGTCTAAGATTACGCAAACATTGTTAAAATATATTTTACAACAGGATGGGGAAATAAGATACGTAGAGCCAGTTAATAAGGTTACACTTAGTGATGATCGAGCTTATGTATCGACGGGAAGAAATTACTTCAGGTAGTATACGTTTTAGTAATTCTATGTAACTTTTAATATCACACTGTGTACAAATTACAGCATTCATCGTAATTTTTCATTTCTCAACCTTTGTTTCAATTCTATTTCTTCAATCGTGTCTATAAAAATAGAAATTCGCATAAAAATTAATTACTAATCTGTGTTTCATAGATGCGAGTTCGTAGTTGTGGCAGTGCCTCCATCGGTGCAGAACACTATCATTATCGAACCGGCCCTCTCTCCGACAAATATTGAAACACTGTACGCACCAGCCGAAAATGTGTTTTTCAACTTGGTTTACAACAAACCGTCCTCAAGTTCTAATTCCGTAAAAGACATCGTAACCACTTGGGACACCAGTAATAATTTAAACATCATTTACGATGCAACTCATGGTAACGCGAAAGAACTTGTGCTCGCCGGTTTTCTTGCCGAACCTAATCTCACGCAGACACACAAGAAAGAGCTGTTTACCACGTTGTATGATTGTTACGAAACTTTCGAACCATCGACAATCTTACGATACAAAGAGTACGACCAATCACTGATAAACGATGAAATAAATCCCGGTTGCCCTATGAGTGTTTTGAAGCCCGTTTCCATTACGAATTTTACCAATCATACAGAAGCTTCTTATGAAAGGTGCGAGAATATTTTTAGCTGTCTGAATGATGAAAGATAAAGCATAATTTCGATTAGAAAATAACCGAGATCCAAAAATGAAATGTTGACATTAAAATTTTAAGTTCATTGATTTGGTGGTAAAAACTGGATTATCGTTTGAAAGTTTAATGCTTTATATATAGATGTCTGCATCTATTTTCTATGTACACGTATGTTTTTGATGAAACTCCAAAATCGAATTTATATTTCATTTACTATTCCTGTGAAATATTGCAAAATATTGTCAGGAGTAATTTAATTGCTATATAATTGTGCGTAAAGTTGATATTAATTTTGATAATCGAAAAATGTATTTTTGATAACAATCGTCTGTTTTGCAAGAATTTTCTTCGCTTCGAGCGAATACGCTGCCAATTGGCCAGGAACGATTGACGGTGCGATTCAAGTTGGTGAAAACACCGCTTACGAAATTTTATGGCGAATCAGACCTCAAGCACTTTCTTTCCCTGAATTGTCTAATATTGAGTACTTATTTTTAAGTTATACAAGTATACTTTCTATTATCACAGTAGACGTCATGACCGATTTACATAATATTGTACTATAATAATTAGCAGGATTTTTTATGTTTCTGTCATAAAAATGTCGCACCTTATTTTTATTTGTTTCAGTATTTTCTAAAATGTTTTATATTTAAAATATTAATTTAATTCTGCATGAACAATCTGAGACATTTATACGATCTGAGGCAAGTTTTAGTGATGAATTTTTCTTCGAAATAAATTTTTTAATCTTTTCAAAAATATCTTATGACTATTTAACTTAAAAATTGATTATGTAACATAGTCAAGACATTTTTAAAGTAACTCAATACTTTTTCATATTTTTCTAAAGCGTAAAACAAAATAAATAAAAAAGATTACATGAACAACTCTAGTTTATACTTGCCTAGAAAAATTAAAATATTAAAATAATAAACAATAAAATACTATATTTAAAATTATTAATTAATTATAAATAATTTTATTTATTATAAAAATGTGAATATTCGTCCACAGAATATCACGTTATATAAAAATTTTCTTTTATATTTTTCAGTAGTATGAATCAACAAAGCTTTGTTTGCTTTTTATGCATTTCGAGACAAATATAATTTAAAATCAAATAATTTTTTACCGTCTACTATCGTTTGATATATATTCCAATTTTTCCTTTTTTTCCAATTTCGCAGCAGTGCCAGAATTAGGATAAAGTCAAGGACACGTCAGCCACTTTCTCTAAAGGTGTGCATTTTACAGTATCTCGGAATATTTCTTCACGTCGCTGTACTTGTCTCATTCTTAAAAATCGCCTATGATTGAAGCAATTGTTATAAATATATAAATTATAGTTATATAATACTCGCAACAGAACTGTAAGTTTTAATAAAAATAAACTTTCAACGCAATTTTGTGATTTGTTAATTCGATTGAAGCACTAAACAAGTTATCCACATCTTTACGTTGGAAAATTTAATTACGAACAATCTAGAAACAGGTTTAATAAGCTCGTATTAAACATTATTATAATACATTACGTTCGTGTAGATACCTGCGTACATTACACATGCAAACACGTAAACATTGAATATGACCCTCAACAAGAACAAGAGATTTTGAATCGTACATATCAGAATAGTTTCATTACTCTTCCTGTTCATACATAGATAGTGCGGATTTCATCTGAAATGTACCATATTTTGTAAAAATTGCGTTGCAACTGTGTTATTTTAATCCTTTGTGAGTGACATTTTCCACTAATTCTTAAAGAATCGTTTCGTTCAAGGTAAACGTTTTCTTCGAACGTATCATAAAGTTCAATGTTATGTTACATTGATTTCTATCATTTCCTTCGTTTGATTAAAACAAAGTGAACGATTAATATAAACATTCAAATTTAATAATTTCAAACCATGTTCCAACTTGTTTCATTTAGACAAAAGATTTTATTTCTCTTTAATTATAATCATTTCATAATTTCAAGTGTTCTTTATATTTTACGTAAATAACATTTCCTCTAAACTCTAAAATAGTTAAGTTAATTATTATTACGTTCTAATGGTCGTATCAACGTACGCAATAGTTTACAAAAGTCTACGAGAACAAAGTAATATTTTATACTGTATCAAATGTTCCAATATTAAATATTGACATTGATAATTTTATTAAATACTGATAATGTCGTCTAAATGATCTACAGATCTATCAGTTTAATATGGTAATGTATTGTTTTGATCAGCAATTGGACATATTATTACCATTACAATGTCTCAAGAAGAAACAAGCGAAGATGAGACAGGATTACAGACACCATCGTTCCTTCGGAAAGGCTCTCGATGTAGCCGTACACCTGGTTTGTAAAATACAATATCTACATTTATCTATACTCTAAAAATCAACACGAATAATTCTTTTGTCAATTTAATTTGGAATCTCCGCTTCGTTATATCCACACATTTATATGTTGAAAATATCATAATCAATTTTTTTTGTCAATTTGATTTAATGTCTTCGCTTCATTATAATAATATCCACATATTTGTACGTTAAATAATTTTTTTGTTAATTTAATTTAAAACTTCCTTTTTTCCATAATAATCTCCGCATATTTACAGACCGTAAGTCTAAGTACAGTTCGTTCCTATCATTTTTTTTTCCTTTTTATCTTCAAAGTATTTGTGAGGTAATTCTCGAGTTTGCGAACGAAATTCTAATTTGACCCAAAATTAATTTTCATTTTTCACGGCTACGTAGTAATAATCAATAACACGCATTACGATCTCTGAAAATTGATTCGTTACAGGAACTCCATCATCAATTTCGAGTTCGATAATTCTCGGTCAAATCCCAGAAGAGGTACTCCGTGTTTGGTGTCAATTGCCAGAAGCAATACGTTTAGACCCTAGTCTGGCTGTTTTTCAGCGGGAATATGATCGAGTTATTCAAACTGCGGAAGGAAGGTTGAGATAATTCTTAAATGTATCCTATATAGGAAGAATAACACGAATAATGGCTACTTCGGCCATTAAAAAACATGTTCTATTAATAACGCATTAAAACGCAGACATAAACAACACGTTCCATTAAAACGCACCCATAAGACATACGTTCCATTAACAGTTGGCTGTGTTTTGATTACTGAATGATAATACGCGTCACTTCTCTCCATTTTTAGTATAAACATATATTTTGGCAAATTGAAAATGTTGCAGTAAAAACCAGTTCTAGTTTCCTAGTTGTATACAATAGTTCCCGTATTTCTAGTTACGCATACAACAATTGACGAAGATTTAAATATTTATAGAAACTTCTTAAAAATATATTGTATAAATAATAGGAAACATTTTGAAATTTCACCGTAATTAGACACGGCTGTCATGATTAAACGATTGGTAACATTTGAATCAAAACTGAAAGCACAGTAAAGAGAATAACTTAACACCGATAACGAGGAAAAATTGTCGATGCTTTAACTTTGTAAAGAAAAGTCATATATCATTCCACTTGGTCCCATAGACGCTCTACTTTGACAAAAATGTTTTTACATTATCAAATAGGGAAATAAAAGTACTTTTTGAAAATTGTAAAACTTCAAAATACGTTGGAACAATTGTTTCACGGCTAGATCCACCATGATTTCAGAGATTAAAGTATCCTTTTTAACTATCTTCGTAATTTTCAAAAATATCTAATTAGTTTATTTTGAAAACTTGTTTTGAACATTTCCAACGATGTTTATTCCAGATCTTCGGATGGAGTAAAGAAAGACTGTTTGGTAGTAAATATGTCTCTTGGGACACAGTCTGCATTGCTACAGAGGCAAGTGACACGAGATCTTTTCTTCAACGTTTAAATTATAGTTATAAAATATAATGCTTTAGTACGGTCTGGTTAAAATTTTTTTAAATAAAATGTGCATATATTTAAATTTAAAGATGCCCAATGTAATATATTCTTTGAATTATTTATTAGATGAAATAAATTTTTATTTATACTTTAATTTCTACAATAAAAAAAATGGATTTGCATAAACATCTACAATCTTTATAAAATAATATAATGTTTTCTCTGTTTTTCTATTGTACGTATACATCTTAGAATTTTGTCTTTTGAAATTGATAGAAATACATCAATATTTTTATTACGTTCTCTATGTATATCAGAATTGAAATGCACGCATTATAAATTAGTATATTGTTACATTATTAGAATACTATATATATATATATATATATATTATTTTTATTTAATGTTACACGTAGAAAGCAAAATAAAAAGAATGATGAAGATAAACAAGATACAAGTATTATACAAGAGATCCAGGAAATAAAACAAAGGCCTGTTTATCGTTACATTAAATTAATTTTATTATGTTGCTTCTGGCTAATATTTACTGTAAGTAATCATACAGATTACATTAAACAATAGTTGTATTAAGTTTTGTCTTGAAGAAGAAGTAATCAGTTCCAAAAATTAATTTTAATTTTAACAGTGAATGCGTAATTTAGAATACAAAAATGCTAAAAAAAAAGAAACAATATTATTAATTACATATTAATATTTTATATACTAAAAAAATATATAATATTTATCGTGTTTTTACTTTTTAGCTAATACTGATGATCAAGAGCGAGAAAATTGAAGAATTACATCAAATTTCAATACCTAGCGGACAAATAAAAAGTATCTTGTCTTTCACAATTTTAATTAATTATTTGAATGGTTAAAACGAGAGTTTTCAGAATATTGAATAGATCACACTTTCATATTATCGAACATTGAACAATGATTACCACTATTGAATTAATCTTTTATTATTTGTAGATTACAAAATGTTTGGTGACGTTTCTAACAAACACGTCAATCTAGTGGTAGAAGGATCATTACTTCCACCAATAAAACCAATAAAATACGAAAATGTATCTGATAAATATTTAATGATATGGTTAGAATTATTAGCTAACGAGACTGATAACAGTAATCAATTTTTATTTGGATCTGAACAAATTAAGGTAAATACATCTAAACTAATCATATTCTGTGCAAAAAATCCTTTTTTATTTTATTCAGGAATAGAGTTGTTCTTAAAATAAAAATTTCATATTTATCTTAATAAGTTCGTAAGAAAAAGAAAGTTTTTAAATTATACATATGTAGGAATCCCGGACAAGTCCCCAATTTGTAGGACTTTGGTAAAAGATGCTTGTTTATTTAAAGTTAAATAAGGAAAATTCGTTTAATAATGATTATAAAGTGACGTTTTACTCTATTTTTTCTTAATCGCTTTCATTCACACTCAATCTTCGCTCACTCAAGACTCACAGCTCTCTCTGTCTTCTCACTTTCACGACTCGCAACTCACTCTGTTTTGTCTGACTTTTCGAAACTCACTGCCTTCTTCATTTGCACAAAATTCGTCGTTCATACACACATACACACATCTGTACCCTTAATATCTTAATCGCTAGGCCTGAAGGGCTAGCCATAAACAATCCTAAGTCCCAGGCTTAACTTTCTCTACATGGCACACCTGGAGAAAGTTCTGGGCCCTTTCCCAAAATTTGCCCATCCTACACATATTAATACTTAAGGAAAGAAACTAATTCATTCTAATTCACGATTTTTCATATATGTAGAATATAACTAATATATGGGTTTTACCAATACTTCCGGAAAATCTGATAGATATTTTTCCTGGACAGAGGCATCAAAACAGTTTTAATTTAAATAATGTCACTAAAGAGTACGTATGATTTATTTTCATTTTTTAACTTTAAAATTACTTGTAGCCTTTGTTACCGAAATTTCTTTCTCATGTAGCTCATCAAATTTAATAATATCCAATGTTACTAAATGGTTCTGAATATTATATAAACATTTTATTTTACAGTACTTTAGAAAACGCCAACATAGTAATTAAGTTAAAAACAAATCTCGAATCCAGTTTTGCTATATCTATTAGTTATGATATATCATCAATAAACAAAGATGATGGCATAATGTATGCTGCGATAATTTTATTGGGATTATATATACTTATAATATTCGAGGTAATTAAGCTTGTGAATATTCAATCTTAATTCATGATAATTTATTTTAATTTATTATTTATGTAGTTTCAATGTATTTTAATTTAATTTAATTTTTAATGTAATTTGAATTATAGGTTGTACATAGGACTTTAGCAGCTATGTTAGCCTCAACTATGTCTATCGCAATATTAGCATTTTTAAATGAGGTAATCTGGAATAAAATAAAATTATTAGAAAACTTTTGCAAAAATGCATGAAAAATTCTCACTTGTTGTTTGCAGTTAAATCATAAATAGAATAATTTTTCAGAGACCAACTATGGATGAATTAATGTCTTGGATAGATGTTGATACGTTGCTATTATTATTCTCAATGATGATACTTGTCGGTATAATCGCTGAAACTGGTATATTTGACTGGCTAGCAGTCTATGCTTATAAGGTTTGTAATTTGTACATCTTTATTATTATTTCTTAATATATATTTATATTTCAAAACTAAAAATTAATCCTCCATAGTCTAATTCTTTCACATTCTGAACAAAATTCCATTCGTCAATTTTTCCAAATAAAAACCCCGAAAAGCCTTTTAATTGTTTTTAATTTTTATAATGCTTAATAATTTATTTTTTATAATTTCTGTAGATAACTGCAGGAAAGTTATGGCCACTCATAGGTACACTATGTTTCTTTACAACATTTATTTCATCATTCCTAGATAATGTTACAACAGTACTGTTAATGACACCAGTAACTATCAGATTATGCGAAGTAATGGAAATAAATCCGGTACCAATATTGACTGCGATGGTGATTTATTCTAATATCGGGGGAGCTCTGACGCCAGTAGGCGATCCACCCAATGTAATTATTGCATCGAATCACGATGTTATTAATAATGTGAGTATTGCTTCGGATACTGATTCATACAAATATTTCATTAAGAATTGAGTTAAATCAGTCTCATACCTGAATTAGAATTTATAAAATTAGAATTTTTATAAGCAATTTTAAACGTATAGTAGTATAAATTATATTAATTAATATCAATATTAGTAATTTTTTTATTTATATTAATGCTTTATGGTAGCAAAGATATTGTATTTATAAAAGAAATATGAAACTCATAATGTTATAAATATATTATATTTGGTTATAATGTTTAATTATTTGTTTTATTTATTTATTATTTTTAGTTTTAATTTAATCAATACTGCGAAGAATAAAATGTATCGAATTTGAATTAACAGTATTAAGGGCTTAATATTTTTCAATTATTATTCATATACATAATCATATATGTAATATTGTTAATTGTAGGGTATCGATTTTGGTACATTCACAATACATATGAGCATTGGTGTTGTACTGGTAATATTTATAGTCTTCGCTCAGTTGAAATTTATCTTTCGAGACATAAAAGTTCTTAAGTTCGCCGAACCACCAGATGTACAGGTACAGAGATTTTGTTCAAAATGATTGAATTATAATATTTAGTTAAAAAATAAAAATAAAGATTATTATATTTAATCAAAATTAGCTGAATATATGTAGGAATCTGTAGAGAAAAGTAGAAGTATATTTGCAGTTTAAATAACTCAATTTAATTCATACTAATTGTTGAATCAAACTTTTGGAAATTTTTCTATAAAGGAAGCATATTAGCAAAAGTGCTCACGTCGATTAAACATGTCAGAAATATCTAGTAAGGTTTCTCATCCCATCGTTTTAGGAATTAAGGCATGAAATTGCCATTTGGCAAAGAGCTGCGGCAAGTTTGTCGAGTTATAGCAAAGATGAAAATGTAGTCAGAGAAACTTTGCTAAAAAAAGTTCAACGATTACTCTCTCTATTAAAAAAGAAGCTAATAACAGGCAGTGGCACGTTGGAAAGTTATAAAACTACGCTCGATGAACTTCAAGAAAAAGTAAATATTAAATTATATCTTTCCATATTATTTTTGTCATCTAGTAATATTATAATTTGAACAATTCAATTCAATATGAGCTTTATTTTCATTTTATGTTGCAGTATCCTATTCGAGACAAATGGTTATTAGTGAAGTCCGGATTCACGTTAATCTTTGTGATCGCGCTATTCTTTTTGCATAGTTTCCCAAATCTGCATTTATCATTAGGTTGGACAGCTTTGTTAGGTGTTCTTTTATTATTAATTTTAGCTGATAGTGAGGATTTAGATGGTCTCATGGCGCGTGTAGAGTGGAGCACTTTATTATTTTTCGCTTCGTTGTTTATTCTTATGGAGGTACAAAATATAACTATTATTATTACCTTCAAAGCATTTATTATCATATTAGTAAAAAATTGTAAAAATAAAAAAGAATGCTTATATAATAAATTTTTTTAATATTAATATTTTGCTTTTTTATTTTTATAGAAACTGTATTTGTAATATTTCAAATGTTTATGTTAACTATTTAAAAAGATGATAAAAATTTTTATACAGGCTTTATCACGTTTGGGTTTAATCGCTTGGATAGGAAAACAGACGGAAAAAATAATCCTGTCTGTGAACGAGGAGTCGCGATTAGCAGTAGCGATATTACTGCTTTTATGGGTGTCGGCATTCGCAAGTGCATTTGTGGATAATGTGCCTTTGTCAACCATGATGATAAGAATCGTTACTGCTTTAGCACAAAATAATGAACTGAAATTACCATTGCAGCCTTTGGTATGGGCTTTAGCTTTCGGCGCTTGTATGGGAGGTAAAGATAATCTATTTAACACTATTAATTATTTTTGAAACTAATAGAAATATATATTATTACTATTATATTCTATTATAATTGTATAATTGGTAGAGAATGCAAGAAGTGCCTCAGTGATAAAAATCAATTACATTTAGAATAATCAAATATTTTTTATACGTACTAAAGTTATTGCAGTTATTGTTTACATTAAATATTAAAAAATTTAATATCTTTTCTTAATAGCTTCATTAATATAATTTAATTTCAGTTATGTTTTTTTAATATAGAGTACTAATATCTTTGAACGTCTTGAAGCCCTTCTTGCATCCGACTGTATAATTTATATCAGACTGCAGATTTATGAGTAACTTAAAAGTGTAAAAATACACAGCATATGGTATGGAAAAATATATAAAATATTCGAAATATAATAATAACAATATTCAAAGTATAGTAAATTGAAACAAATTTCTACTTGAATGTTTCCATAAAAATAAAAGTTTCTATCCGCGGTCTGCAGTTTAATTAATTATCTAATACATTCTATTGAAATAATTTTATCACTGTTGAAAAATCAGTATTTATATTTTAAGATAATTAAAATTGTCTTTGAATGAAACTATATTATTTATCTTTCCATTAGTACAAAATGTAAAAGAAATTGACTCATCGATCAAAATATCGATCTAACGATAGAATGTTCCGACAGTTATATTTTTCGCCACATTAATAGAAACCATTTTTAGTGATTTATGTAGTTGAATGGATGGAACTATTTGCAGGAAATGGAACTTTGATTGGAGCTACTGCTAACGTAGTTTGCGTAGGAGTTGCGGAGCAACATGGATATAAAATTTCTTTTATACAATTTTTCAAGTAAGTGCACTTCTATACAGTTTCTATTTAATTGAATGAAGTAAGAATTTAATTACGTACATTTTTAATAGAGTCTATTTAAGTGAAATTATTAATGTACATTCTCGGTTTTAAATAAAATACAATTCAACAAGATAAATTAAATCTTTCACTTTTAAAGAACATTTAGTTTTCTAGAAATTTTGTATCTTTTTTATTACATTTTTTTTTCAATAAATACGTACGACAATAATAATATGAATAATATATGTAATTTTGAAACAATTTCATAATACTTAAATATTATTGTCTTATGTCCGACAGCTTACATTATTTTGCAAATGTGCCATATACATACGTATTATAATTTAATATGATATCCATACTATTTCTTATTATTATATTATCAAATTATTTTCAGATGAAAATTTTACTTTACGATAGATGATAATAAATCGCACAATTGTACAAAATAACTATTAACTAATCCAATATTATATCAAGTATGGTATAATCAGTGAGAAATTTTGAATTCAGATCGAATAATAAATCGCGAATAAATTAAGCTCATTTTCACAAGAGCTTCTCGCTAATTCATTCTTCGTGTTATAATAATTTAATTAATTCGACAAATAATTTTCAATGTGTTCGTTTCAGGGTGGGGTTTCCAATTATGCTGACAAGTGCTGTGACAATAACCATGTACTTAATGATCGCTCACGTTATTTTCGATTGGAACGGATAATGTAATTATTACGATCTGTGCTTAATATTCTTATTCGTGAAAAATATCTAAATCATTCAAATTAAATTTGTCTAGTTTCGCAAATTTGATAAGCGCTGCTACAAGTGCAATAATGTAACACTGTATACATTTTCTTCGATTAATAAATAATTGTTTTATTATATTTTTCACTCAATTTCAGTATCTTCAATTGTAAAAATATATATTAGTGCATATGTAGTATATTAATATATTTAATGAATAAAATAGTTCTAATTATAACAACATTTTAATTATATAAAGTATGTAAAATATAATTACAGCTATAATACATGCAGCAAATAAATATTCTATACTATATGATCAATTATTAATTATATTATTAAATGTAGCCAAAAATATTTAAAAACTTCTATTAGAAAATTTAATTACACTATATTTATTTGAGTACACTAAATTGTAAAATAGCCTTTGTAATATTTATAGATACAGCATCTATTATTTCAAGTAGTAATAAATCATTAAATTTTTATTGAGTTCCTAAATAAAAATAGAATATTTTTAATCGTGTTTTAATATTTCGTAATCATACGTTTCATCATATTATTTTAATACAAAATTTATGCTTCCTCTAATTCAACCAGATCATGGATTATGAAGGAAAAGTTTGATACATATTCCAGTATTTAAATTCTAACGTTATATCAATTAATGAACAAAGTATATTAATTAATGAAAAATGCATTTTTATGTTTTTGCTTCAATTGTTTATTTTATTAATTTTTATATATACAAATGTAACTCTACGGTTCGAAAGATAAAAATATAATAAATTACAGAAATTATATAAGCTATTTCTTATATTTAAATCAAATTAGTCGTAAATAAACATAATTAAGTATATTATAATAAATTATGTCTTATAAACACGCATATTTTATTTTATATTATTACTTCTTTAAGTTTAATTGTTTAATTTTCCTATTTTAACTAGTTAGATATGAACAAGAAATTCATAAAAAATTAAACATTTTAAAACATGTGTATCTTTACTATATTTTGAAAATACCAACTTTGATTCTTATATTTTTTGACTTGTTGCTGAAGTAATAATATATGGAAAATAATCATGCTTACAATCAAAATATATAAGAAATATAAGGAACTTAATACATTAATATTTTTCTACAACTAGATATATTACTTAAATATAACTATTCAAATTTATAATTTTAACTATATGTTAAAATTAGAATTAACATTAATTACACAATACCTGTTAAGCAACATAAACGTAATACGTAAAACGCTTAATTTATAAATATTCTACATTACATCTAGAAAAATAGAATTATGACTATAAAAACGAAGCAAGTATACATAGGAATTAATGAAATATGTAATATTGATATAAAAGCGAAATCAAATATTTTATTTATATGAATTTTTAAATTTTATGCAAATGATATGGAGCTTACAGGTTTTTGTGTTTTCTTAAAGCTATCTATTGATCCTTAAAATTACATTTACTATCAAAATTAAAATATTTTACATATGACCGCTAATATTTTATATCATAAATAAAACAAATATATACGAAATTGTATACATACATGATTATTATTTATCTTTATGTCAATCACAATACTTTAATTATACATATTTCTTTAAAAAATAGCTAAATTAAAAAATTAACTAGATTTAATTAAAAATAACTAAAATATAGTAACGACAATGTCGTTTTTTTTTTCTTCTTAATTATAATAAACATAATATTTTTTTGTGATGTTTCAAAATCTTTTTTTCTAATTCTAATTTAAAGTTCAAAATTTTTTAGTGTAATTTGATTTTATGATTTCATAAAAATAGTGTCTTTGAAAGAAAATTAATTTTTACTTTAAATAAAGTTAATTTAAATTTCAAAAAAATTTTTAAATCAAAATTTAAATTAACAATTTTATTTTATCATGCGCAATTGCTAGAATTGCTAGAATTGCTTAAATACAATATAGAACACAAATTCTTTCAAAAACATCATTTTAATTACATTAATTTAAAGAAATGAAAAATTTGTTTAGAGTTATTACAATTTGTTCGAGCAATTATACAATTAAAATAATTTAAATCAATAAAAATATTAATCTAATTATAAGAATTATACCAAAAAATTAATGTTTCGTGGTATCTATAAAAAATTACAACTGTGCGTAAATAAATATGTATTATGCATTAAACAAAATAATATTACGTTTATAAAATGTTCAATTATGCTTTGTTATTCAAATAAAGATTTAGAAAAATCATATTAATATGCTGCGTACATATTTATTTACTTACTGATTTGATTATGTTTTTAAATTTTTTTTGTAGTTTTTTAAATATAAATATAAACTAATTGCATTTCATTCCAATTATTAAAATAATTTCATTAAATAATGAAATTATGTTATAATGCATTAGATATTTTATTAACTATTTATATATATATATATATATATATATATGTATGTATATATATATGTATATATATATATCATTCTAGATCTCGCAAAAAGTATTTACAATTGTAATCTAAAAAAATTAATTAATCACAGCAACAAATGGGACATATTTATTAGTTTTGCCGTCTGAATAAGTATTTCTTATATAGGTAAATATTTCTAAAAAACATAATTAGATTGTATGAAAAAAAATATCAAAGGAAATTTAATGTAGCATGTAAAACTTTTCGACTGAGTTCATAATAATTTATACACATTAAATATCTTTATATAAAGATATTACAATTTATAAGTTTTATGTAACAAAATATTTCAAATTTTTGTATTATTGAGAGATCTATGCCTTTCTGTTGTACAATTGACAAAATTGATTACAGTTTTCACAGTAGATACATAAGCATTATGTAAGCGATTATTTTGGCATAGTCGATTTGGTGAATCTTGGAATGCCGGAAGCAGCATACAAACTTCACATGAATATGTTCTGTTTGAAATATCTCTTATAAGAACTACCGCTTATAACGCCCCTTTATTAATTGCAGAGCTTTCGCCATCAACGGTGCTTTTGTTTTCTTTACTATACAACAATTAAGAGAAAATACGTTAAAATATTTTCAGACATTATTATTATTAAAAAAAGGAGCTAATTTTATAATGTATATATTAAATAATAATATTCTATATGTTTATTACTATGAAAAATAATAAATCCTTAAAAATTAAAAACTAATTTCAATATATAACATATTCATAATATTTTAAAAGATATGTTTAGAAGATATATTTAAAAGAGTAATGATTATATATAAAAATACTTACATGGTTTTACACGTTGTATAGGTGGTGGCGGAACAGAAATATTTGTAGCAGATTTTGATCCTCCACCATTAATTAATTTCTGTTTTATAGTAGACGTATTTTTAGGGGCAGAACTTGCAGTACCATATTTAGCTTGTTTTTTAAGAACATTTCTTGGAGGTTTAACAACATTATCTACATATGCAAGTTTAGTAGATCTTGCTGGTAGAGAGTTATCTATTGATTGTTTTATATTAGCTGTAAGCGTTTTCAATTTTGCTTCTCTTTCATCCAAACATCGCTATTGAATAAAACAGATATACATAAGATATAATAACAAATATAAAATGAAGTATTATTTATGAAATATTATAAGTAACACAAATTATTCATTTAAAATCTACCTACCATATACATTTCACGCCATGTTTCCATTTCTTCCCTTTCTTTATTTCTAAATTCGCGGTTGCAATGAAATTGCCATAATTTATCTGTATCTTCAATTAAATAAGGATTATGATGTTCCAACATAAATAATTGATCTGCTGTTGCACGTTCCAGAACAGGTTTTATTATATCAAAAGGAACACCACCAGTAAATTCAAGTGCTGTATATAATAAAATAAATATAAAGATATTTATTCTATAAAATGATTACTTTCATACGTTATTTAATAAATGATGCATATATAACTTACCATTATTCACAGGTAACTTACCATCAATATTCTCTATCAGTACCCTTGTACATACATCAAATAAAGTTGGTACTCTTGTAATACCAGACTTATTTCCTGAATATACTTTTGTCCTGTATAATTAAAATTAAAAAAATTAAAATTACAATAAAAAATCAATGTATATATATATATATATCTGCATAATAATATAAAACTTACCTTTGATTTTTAACATACATTGCATCAGTTAAAATTTTATCTTCTTCCTTCCGATGAACAGGATTGACATATGGCAGTGGTTTATAATTAGGACTAATTTCAGGCAATGTAGATGCCAAATCTACACTTAATGGTTCTAATTTTACATTTGTTGTTAAAAGAGATGGTGTCTGTAATAAAGAATGTACATTATGTTTATATTTATACTTAGAAAAATTGTTATTGTTTTTGGCTAAATATTCTAATTTAAACAATGCAAAATGTTATTAATTCTATAATATAAAGTACCTGTAAAGTATCACTTGTTGGTTCAGTTTTCACTACTGTCTTTTTGTTACTTGTGGTTGATTGTTCTCCTTTAAACATTTTTGCTGTGTTCGTACTTGGGGTATTGCTATTACGTTTTTTAGATGTTTGAGCCATTGTACACATACCCAATGCTTCTGCAAAAGTAGCTCCTAAACAGCAAAAAAACTTTTTTAAAAAATAATAATTTAAATTATAATATAAAAAAATTAATTTCTTAAAAAATGAATATCCATTGAAAGTTTTAAAAATTATAAAATAAATATAACAGTCAAAACTACATTACATAAAATGTAATTTATAAATTAATACAAAATATAAAGACATAATAGATTATAAGATAAATTACTAAAATTAAAAAAGTGTATTTAAAATTAAAATAATATAATTATAAAAATAATTATATATAATTATATATAATTATAAAAAAACAAACTAACTAAAATGCAAAATGAAATAACATACTGAATGTATCCCAGCCATCGCAGAGCAAGAAATGGCACTTTATATAAAAGTAAATAAAAAATAAAGAATGAAATAAAACTGAGGCTTCATTTTTATAAGAAAAACAATTTTAATATATTTATGCGAGTTGTTTGATCATATTTGTATTTATAAACATAAAATTGTCATAAACTCCTGACCTTCAAAATAGTCGTTAAATTAATAAAATTAATTTTAAAAATAATATTTACAATACAATTTCAATTTCTTACAATTTAAAGTATTCCTACAATTTCAAACAAATACAAAATGAACAAAATGATAATTGTACATTGAACAATAAATAATATAGCAATAACACTATTGTTTATATATATTCATAAATATTAACACGAACAAAGACAAAAAGCGATTAATTTAAAGTTAATATGCATATATCTAACAGATTTTCAAAATTTTTTTTGAAGCTTCACATAAAAAAATTTTATGCTATAGTTTCAATTTATTTTATTATATTTCAATTTATTATACTTCAATTTCGCATAAGAAATTAAAAATTCTGCTCGATTATATCACGATGGCTGAAATAGTCTGAATAGTAATTATGTATTATAATTGCAATGATTGCTACAATAAAATATAATTATGTATCCATTAATATTGATCTTAATACCGAAAATACTAAGTTATTTAATTAAAAATACACTATTCATATATAAGAATGTAAAAATAAGAATGTAATAAAAAATTTAATTTATTCAATACTTTTAAATTTAAGGAGTATACAAATAATATAATCATCTTTTTTAGTAATATTAAATAAAAACATTATTTTACATTTATAAATAATATGTTCATAAACTAACCAGAGTGGCAATCTATTCCTTCATCACCATTTATTTCTTGCTTTATTATTTTTACCAAATCCTTTGATTCTTTTGATCCATGTTTGGAATACTTTGAATCTCTATTACTCTTACTTTCATGTTTGCTTTTTCCTTCCTTATGATCTTTTTTTCTGCTTTTCTCTTTGCTTTTATCATGGTGCTTATCACCAGAGGAACTGCTGTGATGTTTAGATTCCAAAGATTCCTTACTAGAATGCTGATCACTTCGTTTGGTTTCATCTTTACTATGATTTGTTTGTATCTCAGTTTTATATTTATGTTTGTCTCCACTATCTTTTAGTTTACTATTGGAAGAATCAGTTCGACATTTACTAGAGCTATTCTTTAATCTCTCATGAGAATCTTTCTTTTCGACGTGTTTAATTTCATTTTTATTTAATGCATCTTTTTCTTTGCACTCTTCTTTTATTTTAACTGAATTTAATACGGAAATACTATTATGTTTTTCAAAAGTAGAAGACATATGAGATTTAGTTTCATCATTCTCACTATCTGAATGTTTTCTTCGTTTACAATCCTTCTTCATATGTGAATCATCATGTTTTCGTTTTTTGTAAGTCTCCTCATTACTTTTGGATAATTGACTATTATCCACAGATTTATTAGAATGTTTTTCTCTGTTACTATTATGTTTAGAACTAGAAGTTTCATCTTTTTTAGAGAGACTTTTAGTATCCTTTGAAGATCTTCTATCACTTCTTGATTCATGTCTATGACTATCTTTAGTTTTATCGTGTTTTTTATGTTTTTCTAAATCACTATTTGAATTTTTAGCAATATCATTATTACTTCTTGGCTGAGATTCAATAGATTTCAATTTAGATTCATGTTTCGAAGTACATTTATTGTTATGTGATGTGTATAATACTTCATTCTTTTCTGACTTATACTTATGTGCATGTTTTCCACTTCCTTCACTTCTAAAAGATATGTGCATATATATTAAATGCATATATATTTAAAAAAAAAAATATATATATATATGAATATTTATTTGTTAGAAAGAAAAAAAATATTATTAGAAATTTGAAATTATAAGAAATATCTTTTTCTTGTATCTTGTAAAATAAATTATTGTATTTTATTTTAATATTTAACTACTGCATGTTACAATATTTGTATATATTAAAATTATATAGATTGTATATTAAAATTATATAGATTGTATATTAAAATTATATAGATTGTATATTAAAATTATATAGATTGTATATTAAAATTATATAGATTGTATATTAAAATTATATAGATTGTATATTAAAATTATATAGATTGTATATTAAAATTATATAAAAATTATATATTATAAAAAATCCATTTCGTATATTAAAATTATATGAAGATCATATTAAAATAATATCAAAAAAAATTCTGTAAAATATCATACCCAGCAGGATTTTCTTCTAGTTTTGAAGATTCAAGGTCATTATAGCTCTCAGGTGCATCAGGAACACAAGCTTCATCCTCATCTTCACCGCTAGTTCCTTCACTAGTGACCATTGCTTTCCATTTTGCAACAAGAGCTCTAGCAGCATCACCTATACCACCATCATACTTTCTTAAAGCATTCACAGTACGTCCTACGCCAGTTTCCTGGAGATGCTGTACCGTTACTGGCAAATTGCATAATTTTGAAATACAATGAAGTACCTGTAATACAAAATGATGACAATATATGAATACAATTTTTATTATTACAATACTATAAATATATATAAATATCAAAATTGATGTATGTAAAAATCATATATGTTTTTCAAACAATTGATTTTAGAATAAACCAAAATGAAAGATGAAATAAATATTACAAAAATTTATTTTTATTTATAGACGGGCATATGTATTTTTTTTATATTTTATAATACGTAAAATTTTTATAACGTGAAATTTTTCACAACACTGTAAAACTTGGATATTATCACAATTGTGTTTGGAGTTTATTTTGAGGTTATACCTAACGACATTAATAAAACTGTATTAATGCTATGATGCTGTAACTTTTAAAAATATAAAAACTAATAGAATAATACATACTCTATCCTCATCATCATCGCACTTTTCAATATTTCGTTGATAGTGTTTAATTCTATCTATTACCGACATCATTACGGCTACCAGATGCTCACTACTGAATAGCTTCGTGGTCGTGAACAGACTAACGTGAGAACTAGATGGCGAAAGTTTAAGCACCGTTATGGCTGCTTGTAAAGTAGCAAACTTCATACTATAAATTATATTTATGTTTTTTCGGACTATAAATTATATTTATGATTTATTAGTACTATAAATTATATTTATGAATTATAATTATAAATTATATTTCCTTAATATTATATTATAATTATATTATTATAATATAATATAATTAAATTATAATATTATAATATAATTAAATTATAATATTATAATAATATTAAATTATAATTATATTATAATTATAAATTATATTTCCTAATAAATTATTATATCCTTAAATTATTATAATTATATATCTTGATTATCTTAAAATAATTGAAAGTCCTATTGTATATGATGTAAGTTAAATATTATTGGTCACTTTTACAATGTTGAATAGGACAAATAAATATTAAATAAAAATTAATATCACGAAACTAAAAATGAAATTAAACTTAATAGAAATACACGTATATAATAGATTTGATGCATAATTATATCATTTAGTTTTTTATAATTACGCACTCAAAGAAATTTCCGTACGCATATAAATTAAAGTGATTTTAAAAATTAAAAAAATTGAAGAAAGAGATACAGATAATTTGGTACTGATTAAATTCAATTATTCTTCAGAAATACGATTTTATAATTACGTAGTAACTGAAGTTAGTTACGAAAAATTTATGATGTATAGAAACCACGCTCAAAGAGATTTTACGTTTTATTGTTATTCATTGTATATCATTGTGATATGAAAATTAATAGTTAAATTTAATAATATAAAATATAATATATGATAGAATGAATTGTAATATATTAAAATTCTTTTCCTTTTCTTAATTTAAATCAAATTGCAAACAATATTTAAAATATAAAATATTTTATCACAAATATAAAATATTTTTATCTGTTGAACCACAGTACTATACATACATATATAAGTAGACCTCGCATATAATGTATTTTTTTGGCCTACGACTGAAGAGTCTCAAGACACCTTTACCATTTTCGTATCACATACTGTTGTGTCAATTCAGGCAAGTTTTGTATTGCAAAAATCAAAAATATGGATAGTTTGCCAGATTTATTTCGAGAATTATTCATTGAATTGAAGTACTACTTCATCAGTGATGTAATACAACGATTTAAAACAGAGATTGATAAAAACTGAGACGAAAAATTTCGTATATATTTAACTATTAACATCTATTTAAAAGTATTAGAAAAAATTTATTGAAATATGATATTTTTATATACAATATAATTAGATATGATGTTTTTTTATTTACAAATTTGTAAATTCACAATTTAAATGAATTATCTTTATCCCGTAAATTCGATTTTATCAAAGTTTGAACTTATCAATAAAATATTTTCACAAATATTGTTTGCAATAAAGAAACACATTATATATTGTAAATTATTTCTTGCAAAATTCATCCGTTTCGAAATTTCGAAGTCAAATTTATTTTTTTGATACCATACATATTTTCTTTTTTATACAAATACAATTATTTATTACAATTATTTATTAGGACGAACTCACTGAGTTGCATTTTCGTTGCATTTCTGTGGACTAACGTTACATCTACATCGAAAATTATTGAATTTAGATTATCTCAACAGAATTATAAGTTAAAAACCGTGCAAACGTAGTTTCACTTTGTAAAAAATGTGGAAATTACAGTATTTATTGTTGCCTTAAATTAATAGAGGCTATGAAACAATAAAACTGTAAAATTACTGAATAGAAAAAATGTTTTTGAAAGTATTGACAAAGAATATTATCTGCTGTGCATCACTGAAAGTTGAGCAGCAAAATGATCATTATAAGTTAAACCTTCATCGTGGGCACATCGATTAAACTTTTGATGTGAATTTTTAAACAATATTTCTGAGTATGTTCTGGAACAAAACATGCTATTCGGACAAGTAAACGACAGTTACGACAGCCATAGCTCACTCCAACATTTAGCAAGGAATTTTATTGACGGTCAAGGTAATAACCATGCCGACTTTCCTAATTTCCCTGTCGTCCCTTTTAATTGCACTCTTAATTGCACCCTTAATTGCACCCTTAATTGCACCCTTAATTGCATTCTTTTGTATTGAAGAAAGGACTAGAAAAGATCGGCATTAGCGAAACATAGGAAAGAGCCTCTAGGACACCTTTGTCCGATGTATGCAGGGAGTCTGGTATTACCACCTAAATAAGCACAGGTACGCAGGTCAAGCAAAACAAATTCCTCAGGATCATACTTAACAAAGGAGCACCTCATTACAGACTACATCATCTTACAAACGTCCCATCAATCAACCAATACATACAAAAGTTACTCGTTAGAGCCTACAACAGTGACCACATCAATCCACTCATTAGTAAAACGGGCAACTACAACATTAAAGACATCCCTCTTCGTATCAAGGTCAAACTTCCGGAACATTCGAGCAACAACCTAAACATCTTACAACAAATAACACATACAACCAACCTTAAGGACATAATATTTCAAGGAACCAGCAGGTTGTCTGAAACTTTTCCTGCAAACGATACCCAAAACACTACAACCTACTCATAAAAATATGTCCTAACTAACAATAATCAATCTTAATGCACAGTTGAACCCAAGGCAAATACAAATCTCGCCGACATCAAGATTACAAAAAAAAAAAAAAAATAAAAAACGATATTAGCCCATCTCATACAGCAGACAGTACACAGCATCAGTTACACAGTCGTCATTCAACCTTATATATAGTTGTTAAATATAAGTGTTTAACCTATATTCGCATTCCATCATCTAAACCCTCTCTCCAACGGAAATAAAAAACCAAACGAGAGAACTATCGGCACTTCACGGACGACATACATACCGTTGTGCCCAGACAGAATATTCCAATTGTTTAAACGTTATCTAATATTTCTAATAATTTATTTGTAACAATTAAACAATAAATTCTTCTCTATAACATTTCTAAGTACTATTTAAAATTTTTAATCAATCACTTGTAGTAATCAAGCCACTAATACATTTCTAAGAAATTTTAATTAACTGTTTCATTAACGAATTATTTTAATTACTTTTTATGATTATTTAATTATTTTCATTATCATCATGATTATCTAAACTTGAATACGAGCTCAATTGCCATGACTTGTATCGTAGTCGTACAAGATATACTATGATAGTTACCATTCTTTAATAATTACCATAATATACGTTATATTTCTGCATATAGAAATATAATATTCTGTACATAGATAATATTAGTCTAACAATACTATTGCTATTTAAATATTATTAGATACTTTCAATATTTCTCTTTGAATCTATAATTAGAAAAATAATTTAGTCTATTACTATTAATTTGTTAAACAAGAATATTTATTCAATATCTAAAATTAGTCACTAGATTGATCAAACAATTATGTCTTATTTTACAAACATCTTTCCTCTTTCCAACAAATTACTTAAATTCAATACAAATCGTGACTCATGTGATAAATATATAAAACAATACTGATTTACATTATTGAGACCCGAGCGTAGTCACCTCCACGTGGTGGGTCTTGGTAATTGATATCGCTTTACAAATATTAAAGTTTGTAAAACGACATCAAGCTAAGAACTACGCAACCTACAGTTCAGTTTAGATCATGAAAACTTTTTTATTTTCTTCAAATCACGATCTAAACTGGTCTGTAGGAACAATTAGTTGATATGTAGGGGACGTGTGTGATTGTCAAAAGGCCCTTATGGCCTTGATCGTGCAGTCTCCAGTTAAACAATAAACTTCCAGATCATTCGATCGGCAAAAGACACAAAGGGAGTCGGGGGCAGAGTTGGGCATTATTCGAATAAAATTTTATTTGAAATATTTTCTTTATTTGAAATAATGTAAAAAAAGAGTCCTTTTTTTCACAATTCTGATTTAATTAATAAATTTGGTTTATTTAATACAATTTTTTGTTCGAACATTTTGTTTGTTAGCCTGTTTGCTTTAGGCGAGTTTATTATTCTGAAAATGAAAACAAACGCTCTACTGGAGCAGAAGATGGAGTGTTACATTTCAAAAATATTTTTGATTATGGGATATGCGTTCAGAGATATATAATCATTTCTATTATCAGTAAAATGGACTTCAGTTGAGTAGGGGGAAGAGTGTAGTCGTGTTTTCCGGAGAAAAGAGGGATTATAAAGTCACAGTAAGGCAGGTAATGCTAATCTAGGTAAGGCGATTCAAACGAGAAAGAGCAGAGAAGAGTTGGGAACGAGAAGTCGAAAAAGAAAGTGGGGCCAAATATAAAGAAGACGAGGATATTCAAGAGGAAAAAGTAGAAGTTAGAAAAAAAGAGGTAGAAAGATATGGCGACAAAAGCGACATCTAGTAGAAATAAGGGGACGATGGAGAAATTTGTAGTCTAAGGATAGACAGAAAGGAGAGACATCATGTGAGAGCGGAGACGAAAGGGAATCGGTAAAGAAGGAAATGACGAATGATTTGAAAGGAGAATTGAAAAAAATGTTTAAAGAATTTCTAAGAAAAATAGAGAAGCTATCTTCTATTGTTCATATAAAAATTATATTAATAAGAATATTGTTAATAACAAAATTAAGATTATATAGAAGTTATTACATAATAATTATACATGGATATATTTCTTCAGGATTATTTTATTTAGTTAATTTATAATTTATTAATTTAATTTATAATCAAACTAATAGACGATTAATTTTTATTAATAAAGGAATAATTAATTTTATTCCTTCATTGATAATAATATGATTTATATTATGTTTTTGTAATGTTGGATCACCATTTTCTTTAAATTTAATTAGAGAAATTATATTATTAATAAATTTAATTTCTTGATTTAAATATTTATTCTTAATTTTAATAATTTATTGTTTATTATCTTTTATTTATTCATTATATTTATTTAGATTTATTATACATGGAAAAATTTTTATAA